CATATATGCGTGGATTCATTTCTGGGGGCTCTAGTCTGTTCCATTGATCAACGTATATGTTTTTATGCCTGTGCCATGCTGTTTTGATTGCTGTAGCCTTGTAGTATAATTTGATATCAGGTAGTGTGATACCTCCAACTTTGTTCTTCTTTCTCAAGATTGTCATGCTATTCAGGTTTTTTATGGCTCCATATAAATTTTAGGATTATTTGTTCTAGCTCCCTGAAAATTCTCATTGGTATTTTGATAGGGATTTCATTGAATCTATAGATTGCTTTGAGTAGTATGGCCATTTTAACAATGTTGATTCTTCCTATCCATGAACTGGATATATGGTTCCATTTATTTGTGTCTTTTTCAATTACTTTTTTCAATGACATAATTTTCTGAGCACAGATCTTTCACCTCCTTGGTTCCTAAGTATTTTATAGTTTGATTCCTAAGTATTTTATAGTTTTCGATGCAATTGCCAATGGGATTATTTTCTTAATTTCTCTTTCTGAAAGTTCATCATTGGTGTATAAAAATACCACTGACTTCTGAATATTTATTTTGTAACCTGCTACTTTATTGAATTCATTGATCAGTTCTACCAGTTTTTTGATGGAATCTTTAAGGTTCTCTACATATAATATCATGCCATTGGCAAATAACAAGAGATTTACTTCTTCCTTTCCAATTTGGGTGCCTTTTATTTCTCCTGATCATCTTATTGCTTTGACTAAGACTTCCAATACAATGTTGAAGAGGAGTGGTGAAAGTGGGCATCCTTGTCTTGTACCTGATCTTAAGGAAAATGCTTTTAGCCTTTTTCCATTGAGTATGATATTAGCTGTAGATTTGTCATATATGGCCTTTATTATGTTGAGACACCTTGGAAATTTTAATTCTCATGATATCAGAAACTCAGAATAGAATCAGGCGTTGGTTATCATCTTCACTCAAATCCCTTTATTTCACAGGTGATTAAACCAAAGCTCAGAAAGATTAAGTGACTCTCCCAAGACCACATAGCTTCCAAGGAAAGCCATGACTAGAATTGCAAGCACAGAGCTCTTTCCACTATACTGTGGTACTCCATCAGCCAAGAAGAAAACCAAGAAAAATTGCTTTTGTTGGGGCTCATGTCAGGCTTCCCCCAAACTATGCCAAAGTGGCATATTGA